CACCAGATGGGCTCTGTACCTCATATTTGTGAAGTGTCATGTGTGTGTGTGTAGCTAATACATTCATATCCTTTCCTTCATCTGGCTGCAGGGGAGGGGTGGGGTGGGGTGGGTGGCAAACCCCGCCCGCCCGAAGACACACACACACACACACACCCTTTTCTGGTGTGTGTTCCCTCCCTCCCTCCCCTGTGTTGATGCATGATGCATGATGCATGCACGTGTACGCAGCGTACTAAGTACATTATAGGTTGGTTAAGTACATCCATGGCGGGTGTTGGTGGGTGGATTTGTGTGGGTGGGTGTGGGGGTGGGTAAGGTGGGTCTGCCCCTCGTCGTCTTTTCGAGCGAGGGAAGATTTTCTCTTCTTAATTGCTTTAGTCAGTCAGTCGTCATAGATGGCATGGCATGGCATGGCATGGGTTTGGGTTGGTTTTGTTTTGGTACGGTTTGGTCGTTGGTAGCTGGTTGGTGTACAGTGTGATTAAAGAAGTAAGCAAGACTAGTACTGAGTAAGTGCAGCTGATAGCTGGGACAATGGGCGGGCGGGAGGGCGAGGAGGGTTCATTTCGGTTTCCTGGGGGGGCAATTCGTGGGCTCACCAGATGGGCTCTGTACCTCATATTTGTGAAGTGTCATGTGTGTGTGTGTAGCTAATACATTCATATCCTTTCCTTCATCTGGCTGCAGGGGAGGGGTGGGGTGGGGTGGGTGGCAAACCCCGCCCGCCCGAAGACACACACACACACACACACCCTTTTCTGGTGTGTGTTCCCTCCCTCCCTCCCCTGTGTTGATGCATGATGCATGATGCATGCACGTGTACGCAGCGTACTAAGTACATTATAGGTTGGTTAAGTACATCCATGGCGGGTGTTGGTGGGTGGATTTGTGTGGGTGGGTGTGGGGGTGGGTAAGGTGGGTCTGCCCCTCGTCGTCTTTTCGAGCGAGGGAAGATTTTCTCTTCTTAATTGCTTTAGTCAGTCAGTCGTCATAGATGGCATGGCATGGCATGGCATGGGTTTGGGTTGGTTTTGTTTTGGTACGGTTTGGTCGTTGGTAGCTGGTTGGTGTACAGTGTGATTAAAGAAGTAAGCAAGACTAGTACTGAGTAAGTGCAGCTGATAGCTGGGACAATGGGCGGGCGGGAGGGCGAGGAGGGTTCATTTCGGTTTCCTGTCTTCATTTGTGCGTCTGCGGGTGTGTGCATG